AATTGAGCTGGAAGTTAAAATTTAAGATTTTGTTTTTATGTATAGTATAGATGTGCAAAGGAAATTGTATTACACTATTTTATAATTTTATAATAGAATTTTTATCCAGAGTTATTGTACGAATGGGAAAGTAGAAATCAATATATTTTATTAGGAAGAGATATCTTTTAGGAATTGGCCGGTAGTTAAAATTTCAGGATTTTGTTTTTATATATAGTATAGATGTGCAAAGGGAATTGTATTACACTATTTTATAATTTTAGAATAGTATTTTTAACCAGAGTTATTGTACGAATGGGAAAGTAGAAATCAATATATTTTATTAGGAAGAGATATCTTTTAGGAATTGGCCGGTAGTTAAAATTTCAGAATTTTGTTTTTATATATAGTGTAGATGTGCAAAGAGAATTGTATTACACTATTTTATAATTTTAGAATAGAATTTTTATCCAGAGTTATTGTGCGAATGGGAAAGTAGAAATCAATATATTTTATTGGGAAGAAAGACTTTTTAGGAATTGGGTGGGAAGTTAAAATTTCATGATTTTGTTTTTATATATAGTATAGATGTGCAAAGGGATTTGTATTACACTATTTTATAATTTTAGAATAGAATTTTTATCCAGAGTTATTGTACGAATGGGAAAGTAGAAATCAATATATTTTATTGAGAAGAGTGATTTTTTAGGAATTGGGCGGGAAGTTAAAATTTCAGGATTTTGTTTTTTATATATAGTATAGATAGTATAGATGTGCAAAGGGAATTGTATTACACCATTTTATAATTTTAGAATAAAATTTTTACCCAGACTTATTGTACGAATGAGAAATTAGAAATCAATATATTTTATTGGGAAGAGAGATTTTTTAGGAATTGAGGGAAGTTAATATATCAGGATTTTGTTTTTATATATAGTATAGATGTGCAAAGGGAATTGTATTACACTATTTTATAATTTTAGAATAGAATTTTTATCCAGAGTTATTGTACGAATGGGAAAGTAGAAATAAATATATTTTATTGGGAAGAGACAGAATTTTGTTTTTATATATAGTATAGATGTGCAAAGGGAATTGTATTACACTATTTTATAATTTTAGAATAGAATTTTTACCCAGAGTTATTGTACGAATGGGAAAGTAGAAATCAATATATTTTATTGGGAAGTGAGATTTTTTAGGAATTGGGCGGGAAGTTAAAATTTCAGGATTTTGTTTTTATATATAGTATAGATGTGCAAAGGGAATTGTATTACATTATTTTATAATTTTTGAATATAATTTTTATCCAGAGTTATTGTACGAATGGGAAAGTAAAAATCAATCTATTTTATTGGGAAGAGATATTTTTTAGGAATTGGGGGGAAGTTAAAATTTCAGGATTTCGTTTTTATATATAGTATATAGACTAGTATGTCCCCCGTGTGATGCACAGCTATATAGTTATGGTTATAGTATAATTATGAAATATAAAATGATTAATATATAGTGAGTAAAAGTAAAATAACTTGATGGAATTCAAAATACAATAATTTTATAAATTATTGAAAATTTCTTTGTAAACTACATTTTGTGTAGTGTTTTCTGGGACCAAACTTCCCATTAGGTGAAAATTTTGCCCATGCAACCGAAACACGGGTGGACCACTACCATTGTTAATAGTCCTATCAATTTTCTCACCCATGGAAGTAAAGCAAAACATATTGTTATATGACCGAATATTTTATAAAAAATGGCTACTCTTATCGTCGCTATTAAAAAATAATCCAAATAGTAGTAGGAGGCAACTTTATCTTCCCATGAGTACAACAAAGTGAATACTTTGGTTTTTGAGTCCCCATAATTTTGTTTATTCTTCTTCCAACCAAAACAAAGCCCCACAATGCTCACATGAATATGTTTGATCACCGAAGTCCAAATAGGTACCTAACAAAATAAAAATTAAAATGTAGAACGGATTCTAAGATAAATGTAATAAATTTATATACTAACCATTCTGAATAGAGGGCATTGAAGTTGAAGCATTAGTGGCATTGTCAAACTCAGGCATCAACAAACAATTTACTCCTACATTTTCTTGCCTAAAAGTGGGGTGAGCAACGAATGAACCTAAAGAATTTTTTATTTTACACATTTTAAAATGAAACATAGAAAGTATATCAATCATTCTAAAATTTAGAATGATAATTTATCAATTATTTGAATGTAATTTATTTTTAAAACATTTGATACTAACCATTATTAATTGAGGGTATTGAAGTTGAATCAGTATTGTTATTTTCAAACTCAGGCATCAACAAACGATTCACTCTCAAATTCGGTTGTGTATTTGTGGGTTACACAACACATGATGCAGGACTGTTATCTATTTAAATGGAAAAGGATTAAAACTATCAAACATATCAACAACTTAAAAATTAAAGAATGAATACATACGTTGTAAGATAATAATTTATCATTTGTCAAATTAGCAAATGGTTGTTTAATAAAATTAGAATAAACCGTGGTCTAAAATAATTGAAGCATGTGCTCCATCTCAAATAAAAGTCTAAGCTAATAGTTGGATTACACATTTATGTTTATGTTATATTATACGCTCAACAGAAATTAGTCTGATGGTATGTACTTGATTGAACATTAGTCAGTCTTATACTCAACTAACTTGTATTATTTAAGAATTTATACTATTTTGGGTTGGTGGAATTCATGTGTCCCCCCTGTTCATGCCATTCCTCGTTTGTGGATTTGAAGGTTTAAGCTCTGATTTTTGTAGGAACCCAAAGCTAGGGATGGCAATTTGCCCCGTCCCCGACGGGGATTCCCATCCCCGCCCCGACGGGGACGGGGATGTGAAAAATTTTCAGACAACGGGGACGGGGACGGAGAATGTGTGTGATTCCCCGTCGGGGATGGAGACGGGGACGGGAATACCCCTCCCCGCCCCGCCCCGTCCCCGAATTATATATATATATATATATATATATATATATATATATATATAAGTATTGACAGAATACTGTCTGTAAGTGTATTACTAGTTTACTACCACTTATATCTACAATGGCGCATTATTTAATTATTATATATATAGTGCATTACATATACAGAATGTATTATGCCAGTACTAGGATTTAGATTTAGATTTTGATTTACAGAATATATATAATTTATCTATTTGTAGAAACTAGGATTTTGATTTTAATTTTTTTTTATATTATTAAATTACAATTATTTAACATTTTGACTAGGAATTGACGGGGAAGGGGGAATCCCGTCCCAGCTTAATTCTCCGTGGGGACGGAAATGGGGAATAATTTCAATTCCCCACCGGGGACGGGGACGGGGATGGGGACGAGGTCGTACTCCTCGTCCCCGCCCCGCCCCACCCCTCTGCCATCCCTACCCAAAGCCACAAACTGTGGTGAGAGTTTTAGAAAGAAGAGGCAATTCATAACTCGTAAACTCTAGTATTAAATTTAGTATGACCTATGCTCATATTCTGACTTTATTTTTATACGTTATAATTGATTAAATTGTGACAATGATAAAAACCCTAGTTGTAATTTCTTACATGCATAATAATGAATTGATTCCGTATGATGATAATTGAAGTCCTATTTCTGATTACATGTGTAAATGTATAATTGAATAAGATTCTGAGAGTCCTAATTTTGTGTATAAATGATGAGCTTATAAAGTTCCTGATAATTGATATCTGTAATTGTGTCTATGGATTAAGAGTCAAGCTTTATGATGAATTTGAATTATTCTCAGAATGCTAGAGATACTAAATGACGTATATAAAAAATTGTAACTTGAATTTTGAGACAAAATGAAGAACAAAATTAGCATAATTGAAAACAATAATCGGCATTGAAATTAATATTCGTGATTAGAAGAGTACTAGCTATTGCCATCCTTATTTCCAAGTGAACACATGAATAAACCCCATCAAGGCATCAAATCATGCCCCTGCAGCAGTGCAGCGCACCCCACCACTCCGAATTTCCCCCACCCACATGGCTCCCTTCCTTATAGATATGATGATTGTCTTGTACAGTATTAAATAATGTTTGGTCAATTATTTGATAACTCAAAATTTTGCTTTAAAAAATCACTAAATATTTTGTTGTGGCATACCTCTAATAATTAACATAAAAATTCATTCTAAATTGATGCGGTAAAACTTTTCATCTATGCAACAAAGTGTGTAATTTTGTCAATAGTGAACCTGTTCATAGTATTTAAAAAGGAATAAGATCCAAATTGGCTACTAAACATAACCTGAAAATACAATTAGATCACTAAATGAAAAAAAAAAAAATACAATTAATTCATTGAACACCCTAAATATATGCAATTTCACTCGATAGCAGGTTAACACTCATTTCTTCCAATTGTTTGCTTACGTGGATGGTGAGTTGGCATTTTTCAAATAATTTTTAATAAAAAACTTTAAAAGAAAAAAAAAAAAAAAAAAAAAAAAAAAACAAAAAAAGAGGTCGAGGTGGCCGCCGGCTATCGCTTCCCCCCTCCTTCGTCTCTGGTTGTGAACAAAGAGATCTCTCTTCGCCTCCGACAAAGACGAAGGAGGGAGTGGGTGTAAGTCCAACGAACGAGATGCCGTGTTGGTTGTTGCATTAGAGATGCCTTGGTTCGTTGGATTTACAACCCCCCCTTCCCCCTCCTTCGTCTCCAGTATGCAACAAAGAGATCTCCCTTTGTCTCCAACTGGAGACGAAGGAGGGGAAGCGGGTGGCCAAGGCGGTTTTTTTTTTTTTTTTTTTTTTAATTATTAAAAATTATTTATAAAATGTCAACATACCATCCATGTAAGTAGGCAACTAGAAGATATAAATGTTAACCTGCAATCAGGTGAAATTGCATATATTTAGAGTGTTCAATGACCCAATTATATATATATATATATATATATATTCATTCAGTGACCTAATTGCACTTTCAGGTTACGTTGAATGACCAATTTGAACCTTATTCCATTTGAAAATAAAGTCATGAATAATAAACTTAAAAGCAACATACCCCCACTGGACTAGAATATCAAGTCCTCATAAGTCATAATCAAGTATTAGTTACTACTAATAATTCCGTATGTGCGACAGCAAACACAGATCTTAAACCACTCAAGCCAAATAGGAACAGGGGGAGGGGCGAGCATACTAATGCAACAACAGATACAACTAGTTTTTTTTTTTTTTGTTTATAGAAGCAAATGCAACATAACAACACCTAGTAAAAGGTTCGATTCAGGAACTTTTTAGAGTGAATCCAGGCAGCTATTTAGGATATATGTACACACAATTTCCTTGGGATGCACCTTGAAACACCAATGCAGCATCCAGTCTTTTCATTTTCTACCTCAAATTCAAGTAAAGCACCTCAATAGTGTTGTACTTTCAGTGAAAGGAGGCCTGAGCAATTCTGTAGAAAAAAACAAAAGTTTTTGATATATAAAGGATATATTTTCCTCCATTTCTTGTTTTCTTTCTGGCTCTCTATTAAAAAATAAATAAATAAAATAAAATAATCTAGGAAGGGCACTTGGGTGTGGGAAGTATGTCTAAGGGTTTCAAATAGGACGCAAAATGAAAAAGTTTAAGGCCCACAAGCTGTGAACAAAGCAATTAATAAACAAGGGAAGTATTAGATGCAGAAAATCTCCTCAAAACAATTGGTATGATTTGGCTTTATTACTACTCCATCCGACCAATTTTACCTGTCTTATTTACTATTCATTGGTAATTGGTCAAACCAACTCTTTCTTCTTTGCTTATTTTAATAATTGATTTTTTGTGTTTAATAGTACTTTTAATATAGTTTCTAAATATATAAATTTTGTATATTAATGCTAAACTTAATATTATGACACATTGAATTAAAAATAACTTCAGTCAAGTCTCGTTAACTAAACCAGACACATAAAATGGGACACGGGGAGTATTGTTGTTGTTGTTGTTATTATTATTATTATTATTATTATTATTATTATTATTATTATTATTTTTACAGAAAATCACTCTGCTCTTATGAGTTATGGCATAGGGTTATTTGGTACTAAGAATAACAAGGGCATGAATGCTTATTATAGTAACAATACCCGGGTTCAGTGGCAGCAAGCAAATATAGAGCTTGAATAGAACAAAGTATCTATAAGACTCACCACTGTAACCACTATTGACCACATAGCTATCAATCACACATCATCGGCAGTATATAGTCTGATCTATATGTGGAGGAATTTGCTTGATCTCAGTTCCAAGTTCTTGCTCAATTCTATACCTGCAACATACAAAATATTAGAAACTAGAAAGCACATACATTGATGATGAACTAAGAGTTATCACGAGAAAACAGTTTCATATGCATACAGATTGAAGCGGTCCTCATAAGTTATCAGGTTTACAGCCAGGCCAAGGTGACCGTATCTCCCAGATCGTCCAACCTGTATAGCAAAATCACCTTGCATAAGAAGACAGCATTCGGAGATAAATAATACACTCACTGAAGATCTGAATGCCATACCCTGTGTAGATATGTTTCTGAATTCTTTGGGAAATCAAAATTAATAACAACATTGACTGCTTGAATATCTATCCCTCTTGTAAACAGATCTGTATTTTAACCCATAAGAAAAGAAGGGATTGTTATTAAAATGATCAAACAGAGAACTTCATAGGAGGAATTAAAAAGACTTTTGCTTTGTATATGGACTTTAACTACAATTACAAACGGACAATATAACCTAGATAAAGTTGCACAAACATCAGAAGAAAGAACAAGGCTTATTGGTGGAAAAACTAAAACCTTTAGGGACAATTATATACGAACCTTTAAAACTTGGTAATTTAATACCAAGCCTTTGTATCATATGACAAGTATATCTAATTATAAAATCTAAACTCTAAAAAATCCAATTATCCTGATTTGGGCATTAATTGGTGGTTATCATGTTTGAACATGATTCTATATAAGTAGAACTTTTTTTAATGAGTTTAATTTTGAATTTTTAATTATATGGACTACACACTTTGATACATTATGTTGTTTTTTTTTTTATTTTAATAATGTTATGTTATAATTTTTAAAATAATTTGTACACCAAATTTGAAAAGAGTTAGTTTGGATTTTTTCTTAGATTGGAATTATAATTGTTACGAAAAGCAAATGTTTGATATTAATTTGTCAAATTTTTAAGAGTTCAATTACTTGATATAATTGTTACGCATAATTGGATATCTAAATCTAAAAAACTAATAAGAGTAAAGGTTGGTACCCTTCATTTATGTATGTTTTTACGTTACTTTTTTCATACATTATCCTATAAGAGTTGTACTATACAATTTTTTGGACAAATACTCCTACGGTTATAACTTCCGTTATCTTTTCCCAATATTATTACCATGCACATGCATCCACCATATATTTTCTTATATTCTTCAAACGTAATAATATATGTAGACATTATATAATGGAGTAATATAATAAATAAATTTTATTTCATTTAATTTTAACAATTAAGGGATTAGTTAGTTATTTCCTAAACTATAAATATCAAATTTATAAAAATGTTTTACATTATTATTATTTTTTATTATTATACAATAATATAAATATCTAAAATCAAAATTAAAAAACAATATATATATGTATATATATATATATATATATATATATATATATATATATATATATATATATATATATATATATATATATATATATAAGAGTGAACCAATGTTATTACCCATGATTTATGTCTGTATTTTTATGCTTATTGAGTTGTACATTGCACTACAAACATTGTTCTATCATTTTTATCAGGCAAAATGATATTGCACTGTTAAACTTCTGTTAGTATATATTAAATGTTACCATAATTATATTTAATCATTTACCATATATATAATTCTTACTTTAACAATTATTAATCATACCACAATTATTACCCAAATTATCAACTATACTTTTAATATAATATGAATTCTACAACTATGATTTAAAAAAAAAAAAAAACTATATACTATTATTAAAAAAATCAATATAACTAAGATTTTAACATTAAGTATTAATATCGGCCATCTATATTTGCACATCGCACATAGAAAAGACTAGTAATTGTTATAAGACACAAAGGTTTGGAATTAAATTGCTAAAATTGGAAGGTTTGGATATATTTGTCAAAAGGCAAAAGGTTTGGGTTTTTTCTTTCACCAATAAGCCAAAAAAGAAAAGAAAGTAGTTCAAAGCGGAGTATGTTAAGAGATGCAAGCATCATAATTCATACCAGTACAAACAAGATTCCTACAGGCACCATTGCGGAAGTCATGAAATACTCTATTTCGGTGGTCTTGAAGCATCTTTGCATGAATGTAAAAGCAAGAATAGCCAAGCTCTGTGATCTTCTTGGCTAGAAGTTCAACACGATTTACAGAATTGCAGAAAATAATTGATTGGTTGATTTGTAGCTGTAGGCAAATTTTGTTAAGAAAAATCATTTTTAAGAAGTTAGAATCACCATAAACAATAGGTAAGATCTAACCTTGGAGAAGAGTGTGTTCAGGCAATGCACTTTCTGCCTTTCTTCAACAAAAGCATAATACTGTGTAATGCCCTTAAGAGTAAGCTCATCCATCAGATTGATGACATATGGCTTATGCAAATATCTATCTTTAAAATCTTTCACAGTAACCGGGAATGTAGCTGAAAACATCAAAACTTGACGATTTAGAGGCAAAAAACGTATTAGTTGCTCCACTGATGGTTGGAATTCTGGAGCTAGTAGCTTGTCAGCCTGAAAAATGTTAGTGCAGACATGGTGTGAATTTTATGGTGCTGTTTGGTGGCAGAAAAGACTCAAAAGAGCAAAATAAACACTAATGGAAAATAGTAACAGAAGATCAGCTGACACATAGATGATAAAATCTAAAGATGTAAAAATGGATCATAAATAACAGTGATGCACCTGGTATCATAAATGTTTCTAATTCATACTTCATATTTCTGAAAAGCAGGAAAATCTTTTATCCTAACTGGCTAACTGTTACTCCATAGCATTTTTATAACCACATATTCAAGCCAAGCTAAGGTGCTACTAACAAGTTCAATAGTTTGTTTTTCAAATCCATTCGAATTCCATGAAGGATGAACAGGGACAGCACAAGGGCAATACAAGAGGAGGGAAAGAGGAATTCGTTAAGGGGTAGTAGCTTCATGAAGAACTATCCACAGTTCTAAGCATCTATATGCTCAATGATGTTTTTTCACAAGAAAGATGAACTAGAAAACATAAAACTGAAATTGTAATACCTCATCCAACACAAGCATTGAGCAATCTTTTAACATGCAAACACCTTTCTTTGAAAGGTCTAGTATTCTTCCAGGAGTTCCCACCAATAAATGAACTGGTTGATATAGACGCAAAATATCATCTTTTAAGCTAGTTCCACCAGTTGTAACCATGACTTGGATTTTCAAGTGCTTCCCAAGTTCTTTACAAACTTGAGATGTCTGAAGAGCCAATTCTCGTGTTGGAACAAGGATAATAACTGCAAATAAAAGCACGAGGCTAACAACTAAGCTACAAGAGTGAAGCAAGTCATATATCAATGATTATAATGTAAAATAATGACTGAGAGAGAAACATACAAATAAAGTATGATTTCATACCAAATTATATAATGTAAAATAATGACTGAGAGAGAAACATACAAATAAAGGATGATTTCATACCAAATTATATATGAAAGAATCATCATATCAATTAAAAATCTAAAGCCAAGTCCATGTGGAATACTGGATAAAAGCACAATTTCTTTTTTGATAACCTATATGTAGTGCAACTAAATTCTTATACAGTTATACATGTAACGAAAAAATTGAATATGATCTAAAGCGTCTAATAACATGTTCAGTTTAAGTAATATGATATCATTATATCCTCTGACTCTATGGAACCAGAGGGAAGAACTTAATTCAGCACATATACAAAGTAACACAACACACTAGTAGAAAAGTTTACTTTCTTATATGGGCATCTCAAGTGTGTAAATTTTCACCAGAATTGCAATAGAGCATCAATACATGCACCATGAATAAGGGTTTATCAGAGTACAAAAACAATTAAAATATAATGATCAGAACCTTGAATAGAGTTGATGTCAATATCAATTTTTTCTAAGGCAGGAATGCAGAAGGCAGCCGTTTTTCCAGTTCCATTCTTAGCTCTAGCAAGAATATCACTTCCAGTTAGGGCAATTGGAATACTTTCCTCCTGTATTGGCGACGGTTTCTCAAACCCCTTCTCATAAATCCCCATGAGCAGTTCACGTTTCAAAAAGTAGTCTTCAAATTCATTCCCCTTAGTTGCTGTCACGTCCTGTAAAAAGTGCATTTACCAGTAAGAAACATGATCAATATACATCATAAAGGATATACATGTAAAAAATTGTTCTAGAACAACTTATTACTATAATAATCACTCATGAGATATTATATAACCTTCTAGAATTAAAAAAATAAAAAATAAAAAAAAATCTAAATGTGCTGAAGTATAGAACGAGATGCAACTTCAAGAATCCATCAACTATGACAACAAATTGATGCAATCAGAAAGAAAAATATGCACACAGACACGGATATACGATAACAATCTCTATCACGGTGTTGATTGCAGTCAGGAGTTGAGTAATACATGGATGATGTTACTCCATATATAAACTCAACAGTCAAAACCAGTAAATTATAAATTTTTTCAAGTCAATTACAGTATTTAGAAAATGGATTAGGGAGTTTATAGACAATGCGACAGTTGTTTTCTCCTGGTACATCACATACATCCAAAATTTTCCACAGATCACCTAGTGTCAATAGTTGATGATAACATTGATGAAAGGCAACAGTAAATGTCAATAGTTTGAGATTTCATGGCTTCAAGCAAACCTAGTAAAGGTGATCCCCAAAGTTTCAATCTGTGACCTAATAATTAATAAGCAGCATCAAGTTATTGACTAGCAGCTACATCCAAGTCCCAACAAGCTCCAGTGACTGGTCATGTATCAATTTCTATGATATCCATGAAAAAAGATAGGCATCACTAGTTTCTTGATGGGAAATACTTAAAACATTTAATTTATCCAAAAAAAAAAAAAAAAAAAAAAAAAAAAAAAAAAAAAAAAAAAAGTTGAAGGTAGTAAATGAAATGCAGTATGAGAGTATCAGATTCCCAAATGATAAGTGAAGGAACTCTGCATAAAATATAAACCGTAAAATGATAAATGCTGTAGCAGAGTGAACATGGAGATAAATTGAGAAACCGGCAACTAGTGCAAATTGAAGGAATACCTCAGTTCTGTACCGTGTATCTGGTGGAGGTATATTCAACTGCGCCTTCCAATTTTGCGAACTGAATAAGGAACAAAACGTGTTTAGTTCACAACTCAGTGTATTCAACTTAAATAATTAATCCCAGCAAAATACCAGGAGAAATTCAGGTGGAAAATGCAAAAGAACCGAGCTAATACCTTGCATCAATTCCTTCAGATTGCACGGTCTTTTCAACCTCGTCGGCGGTAAAATCAGCACCCAACTCGTTGTTCCGTCTGAGCCACTGCTGGGTTTGCTGGTTCTGGAAATGCTGTTGATTTGGAAGTGGACTTCGCTGGACGTACTGATGAGGATTTCTAGGCTTAAAATCAGGGTTTGCGTTAGGGTTCAGGCCGGCACCTCCTCTTCCGCCGCTGCTCATCCCAGGCGGCGGATATCTTGCTCTATAATTCATCTAACAAAATTTTCACACGAGCTAGCCGGAATCAATAACCCCTAAAATGAATCCCTAAAAACTTCCGCCGTGAATACAGAAGATATGTTCTATTTTGTTTTTCCTCAGCAAAGCAGCTCGACAAATACCGCGATGGAGACGATGGTCAAGACCGAAGACTGGTACGCGCTGGGGTCTAGGGCTTATGAATTTGTGGAAAATAGAAATTGCAGAAGAGTCAATATGCCGTATGCGTATATTTTAACCAAAAAAAGGTAAATATATTTGAAGTAACATTTCTATGACCTTCACTAACACAGCTACATTTATATATTTTGATGACATAAGAGTATACTTAACCAAGAGAAGACAAGTTTAGCTTACTAGTTTAATATGCAATTTAAGTGAAAAGAGATCAAAGTTTGAAACTTGACAACAATTAAACCATCGAGTTATCATGATTTACCCTTCTTCACTCACATATTCTATTGGGTTAGAGTCAAACAACATTCATTACCTCTCTCCTTCCACATACTCTGTTGGGTCGGAGTCCAACAACATTCATTGGTTCGTGCGCCCTAAATGCTACAAACAAGAGTGGCGAAGCTATGTTGATTTGAGTAGGGCCAATTGACCCCACGTCCCCACTCAAATTTTATTGTCTATATATATATATATATATATATATATATATATATATATATATATATATAGAGGATTATATTCAAATACAAACAATCTTTAAAATATAAACGTGTGGATTAATTAGAATCGTTGGATATTGGTGTTGGATGGCTAAGATTGATTCTAGTATTTCAGCATTTTTAATTCACCGTGTTTGTTTTTATTATTAGATTTGAGCAATTTTGGAATTTTACTGATTGTGTAATCCCGAGAATCGCACACCACGCGCCTGATGTAGAAACGCGTCCTACCGTAATCCCTAATCTCTCCTTCTTCGCACTTTACAATTTTCCTTTTTGTCGTGCATTTCTTCTCCGCTTGTGGTCCAGCCTTCTCATTCTTCAACGTCTCTTCTCCGTGTCTATTCAGTGTTGGTCGATGGTAGTTGATGGGGGTCACAGTCGACGCAAGCGCCGGGGACCACCCGGTCGGGGTGTAGGTCAAGGTATTTTTCTCTTTTTTTGTCATTTTTTTTATTGTTCTTATCTTCTCTGTGGTATTGTGCGTTTGTTTGGTGGTGGTAGGGGTTATTCCTGTGTGTTTCAAACCTCTTCATGTTTCGAATGTGGTTGTGGTAGATTTAGGGTTTTTTTTTTTTGTTAATTTTTTTCCAATTTTGCTGTTTAGTAGCTTTGTGGGGTTTTCCAGCGTGTGCGTTTGTCTGGCGGTGGAGGAGGTTTTTTTTTTGTGTGTTAATTTTTGTTTGTTGATTTTTTCTAATTTCATTGTTCAATAGCTTTGTGGGTTTTTTCTGACTACTTTGTTTGGGTGGCCGGGTGGTGCTGGCGAGGGGGTGTGTGTGTGTGTGGTGGTAGGGGGGGGGGGGGGGGGGGGCTGAGGGCGTTTACTAGCCGGTGTTATTTTATTTTATTTTATTTTTTAATTTCGCTTATAAGTTTGGATTGTTGGTTGAATGTGAGAGTGGTAGTTTGAGGATTGTTGTTGTTTGTTAATTTTTCCTCCATTTCGTTCTTAGTTTGCAGCGTTATTTTTTCGGACTGTGGTGTTTGGGTGGGTGTTCGGCACTGCCGTGGACTGTGTGGGGGAGGGGGGAGGGGGGGGGGGGGGACTGTTGGCGTCTACTTGCTTCTTCTTTTTTTTTTTTTTTTTTTTTTTTTTTGGTTTTTTTCTTTTTCCATGGTATGCTAGGTTGTTGTTACATGTATGTTGTTTATGTGTCTAATTTTTTTGAAGTCTAGAATGGGTGTTTTACTGTGTTTGAATATTCATTTTGATTAAACATTTGTTCCTTATTTTAATCACCATTTTTCAATCTTGCTCTATTCTTTTTTCCCTTTTTCATCATGTCAGATGTGCATTAGCACTACCAGTATTGTCTGAATTTTGTCTTTGTGTAAAAACTTAGTGGATGCTGTGTGCACGCGTGTGTGGTTATGTGTGCACATTTGTGTGAAGATGTGTGCACAATTTTGTAATATACGTTAGTGTGTGCACTTGACATGTCTAGTGTATGCATTATAATGATCTTTCTGTGATTTTCAGTTATTTGGGATTTGTGATTGGTTCATATTGTATTGCGTGTTTGTACGCTGGTGTAACAAAAAAATTCAAGGTCACCCATTCAGATGGGTGTCCTTCTGGGATTTCTGATGATGATAGTGACTTTTTGCCGTCACCTCGTGCGTTCCTTTCCAGGTTGCAACAAGAGCCTCTGTGATATGCCCCCGATTATGAACTCACCGGGAACACTCACTTTGAAGTTGGAGTGCACATACCTATTTGCCTTTGGTTTTTTCAGGGTTTTTTCCTAGCTGCTCCCGGTTTGGTTGCACATTGTTTCTTTTGCACGTGCACATAGTATCACCCGCTGATGCACACAATTTTTATAGGCTTGCGAATGCTTTTTTGACTTTATTTTCCATAATGTGTATTGTGTTTTAAGCCTTGTTGCTCCCATTTTGCAGGCACACACTTTCATACTCCCGAGCACACAGAGTTACCCACATGTGCTAACGTAAGCATGCGAAGAATTGGAAGAAGAGTAAGATTGGGTTTTATGGTGAATAAAAGCCAAAGAAAAAGGTCTTACGAGAAACGAAAGAAGTCGATGTTGAATATGCTTAATGAGCTGAGCACCCAGGGCGGTGTTGAGGCAGGTGCAATACTGTACAACCGTTTTGAGGAAGGTCCAGTTGTATTCCCGAGTGTTGAAGATATGGAAGAGAGCATTGAAGAGAGGTTTGAGAAATTAGGCACTCAACTTCTGAATCTGAAGAGAGTGAATAGAGAGATGGAGATGGGTTTAGTGATGTATCAGATCTTACAAGGATATCAGCTTAATAATTCTCTCAATTTCATAGATCTTAACGACTTAGGATGGGTTATAAACACATATTTGGCTGAAATTGATAACAAGCTAGGTTGAGGCAATTACCAACAATTCCTCAATAATCCCAGCATCATCAGTGAGGGCCCAGCACGCAGCTCAAGAAATCCTTAAAATCCTCAGCTCCATCTATGATATTCTTAATTATATTGTTGTAGTCCACAGACCAGAGTTGCTTAATTGTGTCTTTCCTTTTGAATTTTGAATTCTCTGATCTATTTATGGTTGTTATGTTATTCTGTTTTATTGTTAATGTTAAGCAAGCTGTTTTTTTTTTTTTTTTTTTTTTTTTTAATTCTAAAAATGAACAGATTTGGGTAGAAATTTGAGCTGCGGAAAATCTTTCCATAAATATGTATTGAGTGAATTCCATTTATGGTCATACTGTTATAGGGGCGTTTCCAATTTCAGTCCACTTTAATTTTTTTTGCCACTTTACAACCACTGTTATTGAATGTGTTCCACTTTTAGTCCACCGTTAATATTTCCGTCAAGAGGCCGTATAATCAAAGGGTATTTTGGTCTTTTTATGTTTGTCTCTTCTCTTTTAATCCAGGCGCTTCGTCCTCCTCCTCCGATATTTGAAGATGGCTCTTCAAACAACGAGAATGGGAAGCCAAAGCTACATCATTTCGTTCGTTCCAACATGGGCCGACGAGGTTTCTTAGGTTTTAGGTTTAATATTTTCATTTCTTTAGTCAAACATAGTCTTGAATGAGAAGAAATGTCAAAATACCCCTAGATTACACGACCTCTTGATGAAAATACTAACGGTGGGACTAAAAGTGGAACACATTCAATAATAGTGGTTATAAAGTGGCAAAAAAAATTAAGGTGGACTAAAATTGGAAACGCCCCTATAACAGTAAGACCAAAAATGGAATTCACTCATATGTATATCAAATAAAGTTCATATTTCATCAATAGAAAATACAATAGGAAGATAATAAATGGAATATTTATCACTCAATTAGTGTATTAGATGACACAATTAATGCACACATTGGCGTAGCTTAATGGTTTAATAGACACTATTTGAAAAAATAGACCAAGGTTTGAATTTTGACAACAGCAGAAGTTAGTAAATTTCTTGTGTATCCTCCCAAATACTTCGTTAGATCGCGGAGCCTTTTAACTCTCGATCTCTAGTCCTTAGAGTTTTTCATCCCTGTTTTTAGGGTTTTATTCTTCTGTTTCCCAGATTTTTCTCCTCCGACGACGTTGTTTTGGAAATAGTGGAGAACTTAATTTCTGGGTAGATTCATCAAAACTGGCAATTTCGGAGGGGCATGGAAAGGATATCAGCGCATTAGGGTGGCCTTGGAAGTGGAAATGCCCATGAAGAGAAGAATGAAACCCACTAAACAGGATGGATATATTGTCTAGGTGACTTTTAAATATGAACTAATTAATGTATCTACAAATTTAATAAGAGCCAATGAAGGTAAGGCTATAATATAATATATATATATATATATATATATATATATATATATATATATATATATAATAATAATAATAATAATAATAATAATAATAATATAATATAATAATATATATATATATATATATATAATATATAATAACAGGAATAAGAGCCAATGAAGGTAAGGCTATAACAGGAATAAAAATGTGTTAGTCCAATAATGTAGTATAATAGATTGTAATTTGCGTTCTTTCTATTGAACAATATTTAAGTAATTTCCTAATTTACCCTCATTCTTTTTAATATTACCTAATTATTTCCGTCAAATTAAACTTGCCGTTTAGTTTTAAAGAGCGGTGGTAATTCTGTAGTTATGACCAAGTTTGATGGTTGTCTCACAATTGCCCTGTGTTCTAATGCTCGAACCTTGTGCTGGTGTACGTTATCTACTTATCTATCTTCCCTCAATCCCTTGTCTCTCTTTCTCTTGTTGTAATTTAATTCATTCCCGAGAGCTTAGTGCTTCTTTGTTTTTCCCCTTTGATCAATTACTCTTGATATTATTATTAGCATTATATGGATGTTCGCATATAATCTTTTATGTTACAATAATTTTTTTTTTCAACTTTAATATCAAATATGTATTTCAATAAATTTAAAAATAAAAATAAATAAATAGAACAAAGATAACATATACTCCGTATTACATATATAAGTACATGATTTACAAATAATTAAATAAAAATTTAAAGTTTAAAAACAAAATCATTTTATAAGTTAACCATTGTGTAATAAAAAATAAAATAAAATATATAATTAAATATGATACATACAAATAAACTAACATAACATATATATTTTATGATAATTATAATTCAAATGGCAAAGCATAATTTTTCTTTCATATAGTGCCTCTTTTTCTTTCCTTGTTCTCATGCTGCTTCTCTTAATTCTTTCCTTTTCCTCTCACTCCCTAATCTTTTCTTTTCTATATTAAAATTTGAGATGTGGAAATGAGAAAGAAACAGAGAAGACATGAATATGACGAAAGAGAGAAAGAAACAAGAAGACATGACGAAAGAGAAAGAAAGAAGACAAAAAGGATACGAAGAGACACTAAAGATTAAGGGATATGAAGACCCCTTAGCCAATATCGCCTCGACTGAGGCTGGGAGTAACTTAGTGTCATTGGACTACAAATCCTTAGCTTAAAATTAATGTGTTAAAAAAGCTACTATGAAGAGAATGTTGCATTGGAAATGTAACTTTGAAATGTTACATTATCTTTTTTTTTTTTTTTTTTTTTTGAAAAAAAAATGTTACATTATCTTGGTTATGTTATATAAATTGATCCAAATACTCCCTAAATGTAAAAAAAAATTATTTTTTTAATTTTAACATAATTTCTAAAAAATTTCCATTACCTTATCTAATTCTCTCCACTACAATAAGGATTTCTCTATCTATAAAAACTCATCCAACAATATTTGTAAAACCAGATTGGACAAACTAAACATTTATTTTGAAACCAATTATATTAATCAATATTTGTTTTAACTTATAGTGATTATCTTCTACTTATTTACTTTAATTAACTCATTGGGCATTGATTAATTTGCGCAACGCGCATTTTCTAACTAGTATATGTTATGTAGGTTAAAAGTTCAACAATGCTGGTGTATTGGTGTTGCCAATTTAAACTCTATTTATTAAACAAAATTTAGTTTATACATGGTTTAGATGATTATTTCTTTGTATTGGTGTGTAAAAACATATACGGAATGTTAAGTTAATCATAAAAGGAATTAGCAAACTATATACTAAAAGTAATTTAAGTTCATGATTATCAGGATAAGACTAGAGTTATATTATATGACCGTTTCTAAATGGTTATGCAGAAAATGTTTACCGTCTCACAGCCTTTGGAAATGTAATATGTTTTCAGATTACTTAATTTGAATCTCATGTGATGTCCAACGATGCATTGATGGGCGTTGGATTGAATTATTTTGTACCATACACAATAGAAAAAATGTCATAAAATTTTAAATCTAATACGAAAACATATTACATATATAGTTTTATTACAAATTGCACAAATAAAATAATTTAAGAGTAAAATACATTTTTGGTCCTAGACTTATAGTGGCACTAACAATTTTGGTCCTCCATAAAAGAATCAGACAATTTGTGGATACTCTTATTGTGACGATGACAATTTTGATCCTCCGTCACTCTTCCCATTAGTTGCCCCGTTTGAGAAGGGATATTTGTGTCTTTTCAGCCCTAAGTGTTTTTCCTCATCCTAGTTATTTTTTTACTCTGCCTCGCGTATCTCTGTAGTCCCTCTTTCTCTCGTTTCCCTCAAGGAGTTTTCCGGTGGCGAAGCAGGCCATGGACTCAGGCAGTCACCCTCTTCATCCCTTCTATCTCTCTTGACCACCCAGCAATGCACCTGTGGCGTAGCAGCTTCGGGGACCTCCGCCATCACCTTCTCATCCTCAGCTTCTTTAGTCCGGCGACCTGCAGCAGGTGACGACGACAACACCCAGCAGTAGCGACGCTCCACTCCGGTGACCTATCCTCACCCTCGTCGTCTCTCGTTTTCCTTGGGCGAAGGTGGTAGATCCGGCGAGCAGAAGGCAGAAAAATGACAGATCGGGCGTCTTCCGGTCCAGTTCGAGCTTTTCTCGGCGGTGAATGGCGGCGGCGACCTCCGGCCCTTCTCCAGAGAAGTAGCAGAAATGGCTGCAGTTTCGGTGTGGTGTTCCTCTGACGGTGTGGGGTTTAGTAGTAATGAAGGTGAGGCATTGTTTTACTTGTTGGTGAAGTATACCTATGAAGATGAAGTTATATGGGTGTTGATGTTGGTCTATTATTGATGGTGGTTAGACTATCAAATGATGATTAAACAATGGTTATGATTTATTGGATAATGATGGAGAATGTTTAGCATGATTAATGACAAGGTATGATGAAAAGACACAAATGCCCCTTCTCAAACGGGACAACTAACGGGAGGTGTGACGGAGGACCAAAATTGTCCTCATCACAATAAGAGTGTCCACGAATTGTCTGATATTTTGATGGAGAACCAAAATTGTCCCTGCCACTATAAGTCTAGGACCAAACATGTCTTTTACTCATAATTTAAATACATAAGCCGAATTAAACAAACACTAGAGTATATACGAATAAACACATACATATCACAAGAAGAGTGAAATGTGCGGCACAAGAAGAGTGAACTATACATTCTAGTAAAGTCACAATATTACAAAATATAACTACCACAATACCATACTTTTAAGAGAGCTAAAGACAAAAACATGAGGCTAGCTAGGACTTGTATGTGTTTCTTTATGTCACTTTCAAGCACCATATACTTTCTCCTAGTGTTGATGCTTTTCCGCCTCAACGCCCTCCTCTTCATCATCCTTTTCAGAGTTGTAATGTTCTTCTTTCCTCCCATGGATGGAGAATAAATAAGAAAGATCAATTAAAATCGTAATAAAAATGAATGGTGTCTTTGTTATTTTGTGTGATTTTCCACAACTTGTTTGGAATAGTTCCACCTTACCTATCTCTTCTATAGTTGGAAATACTTTTCCTTCATGGTTTGGGCATGCGCTGGACTATTGTTCTGAAGATAACATTTGCTTGATCATGGCAGTACTGTACCATGTGTGGAGGGCTCGGAATTCCGCCGTATGGGAGGGCAGCGTTCCATTTTCAAGATAGGTGTTGGAGACGGCTGCTTCTACGTTGCATGCATGGAGGGAGATCCATCACCGACCTTTCCTGCCAGCACCGTCCCCGCTCAGCCGGCTCTGGAAATGCCCAGGTGCTATTTCTACACCGATTTCACCACTCATCGGGGAGAGCATCATTTGGAGCAGTATTGCTCAAGTTGGACTCGGACTTCATGGCAGCTTGCAGCGGACCTCTATCGGATTGCTTGTCACCAGAGTTGACATTTTATACCATAATCCTGTGACTCTTTTGGAGCTTACGTGAGTTGAAAATTTATATAACCTGTCTAATATTCCTTAAACACATCCACTTATAATAATTTGTATAAAAGACACTTTATTATCGTCACATAGGGCAGTGAAGGTAAAACAAACATAACTAGCAATCAGTCCCAAAATGTCCTTATTAACTTCTTTGAATCTAAATGGTCCTTTATCTACTTCAAGAGATTTATTGGATATTTGTTAGTGTGATAAGTCAATGATACGTTATCCATAAAAATGCATCAAAGACATTTTTCAAAAATAGACTATTTTTTTATATAAAATTCCTTTCAAAGAAATACTCGATCTGCGGGTCGAGATAATACTTTAATTTGTTTTCCAAAATTCGTCTTTAGAACATGAGCTAATTCCATTAGTAGCCCTTTAATAAGTACCTAATGGTAAATATTCATTTCTAGATTTTTCAATTTCAGAAGGAAATTACTTAGTCAATTGTTTTACTATTTCAATTTAAGTAAAGAATTTGCACTTCAACAACAAACATGTTGTGATATTTACTTTCTTACGTTTTGAGAATTATAAATCCATCACGGATTTTTCAAATAAAGATTAGTGTCTAACGGCACATAATTTTAAGGTCATAACTTTAATAAACTGCATATCTAAATTTATTATTATATTGCCAATTATATAGCGGAACTTGGATTATGTATTGGAGAACTATTGTTCAACCAAAAATTCTATGATTGCTAGTTATGTTTGTTTTACCTTCACGGCCATATGTGATGATAATAAAGTGTCTTTTATACAAATTATAAGTAGTTGTGTTTAAGGAATATTAGACAAGTTATATAAATATTCAACCCATGTAAGCTTCAAAAGAGTCACGGAATTATTCTATAAAATGTCAATTCTAGTGACAATTGATTGATTTAATTCCTACAATGTGTTTTTTTTAAACAAAAACAAACGGCATTTTATTGGCGGCGTATAGCCCGGCGGGAGGCAAAACTTCCAAGGTCATACATTATTGCCAACTTGGCAGCTTCAGGCAAGGTATTGAAAGAGGAAAGAATCATCGAAGAACAAAAGCTAAGCCCAGCATCTGCAAGACCGTCAGCAACTCGATTGGCTTCCTGGTAAACATGCCTAATCAGGGATGGAGCCAAAGAGGAGGCAGGGGGGCAGTTGCCCCCCTCACCCCACTCCCACCCCATATATAGTCTTTGTATGTATATATGTATATATAGTCACTGCTGGAAATTATGGAATTTCCGACCACCTGAAAATGATCTTAAATTAAGTCGAAAGCCTTGTTTCGACCACTTTTGGTATCCGGAAAAACCTTTGTTGCTATTTCCGACCACTTTTTGCTTTCGACTTGATATAAGATCACTTTCAGGTGGTTGAAAATTCCATAATTTCCAACAGTGAGAACATGTTTTAGTATCACACTACTACAGAATGGAGCAAAGAAATTATACTTTAAGCTACCCTTCTTTAAACAAGGGTAGTGTATTATTTTAAAAAAAAGGGACGGTGGCATAATTGTAATTAAATGAATAAAAAATCGCTACCCTTTCTAAAAGAAGGGTAGCGGTTTTAAAAAAAAAAAGAAGACGGAAAGAGTTTCCGCTGCCCTTTCGCTTAGCAAAGGGCAGCGGAAAAGATATTATAAAAAAAAACGAAATTAAATTAAAAAACCTAACCCTCACCTCACGACCGCGTTCTCCATTCTCACCCCTCACGACCGCGTTCTCCATCCTCACCCCTCACATCTCACAACCGTACCCTCACCTCACGGCCGGCATCTCCGTAGGAGACGATCACCTCACCGCATCTCCGGCCTCGACTCCCGGCGAGGACACGGCGACGCCTCACCTCACCATCGATTCCCTCAGCCGTCGCTACAGTACGCGCGTTCTCCTCACCGCCACCATCTCATCATCGATTCACCGCCCCACGCCCTCATCCGCCGTCTCCACCGCCACAGTGTCGCCGCCGCTGCTTCGATCCGCCGCCACTGCTTCGATCAACCGCTCCAGCCGCTGCTTCGTCCATCAGGTAAGGTTTTTCTTTTTTTGGTTAATTTGTTTTTTGTTGTTATTTTTGATATAATTACAGTAGAGAGATTTGGGTGTAGAGAGATTTGGGCGTTTCTATGGCGGTTGCCCCTCTCGGTGTTCTTAGTCTTATGGCACTATATTTATTTATTGTACTATATACAATCACTGTATGTGCTTGCTAAGTTTATTCTACTCTCTCCATCTGCTTCCAGTGGTCCACTTTCAATTTTTGGACCCCCATAATAGTGTCCACCTTCCTTCCCTATATGGTAGAGATTACAATCTTCAAAACTTCAAATTATTTTGAAAACAATAACATTGTTTTTATGCTACTAGCGTTTAAAACCAATTGATTAATAAATTATTCACTTTTAAATAGTAGATTATAGCTCCGTTTACTTCAATTATCCAATTTTTCATATATATAATTGATTAATAAATTATTCACTTTTAAATAGTAGATTATAGCTCCGTTTACTTCAATTATCCAATTTTTCATATATATAATTTCGGTTTCTATGCTTTAATTTGCTACTAGCCTTTTCCTCTCAATTCTCTTTGATCATATTCTCCTTTAATTTGTATACATCCTTGGCCTGCAGGTTTTAAAGGATAAAGAAAAGTGATGTTAGGATTTCAGAATATTAGCTTATCTTCTATATATATTCTCTTAATTGCCTGTTCTTGATGGTACTGAACCACATATATACAGCATTTACATATAGAATTTGATTCTGGGTTGGTTGGCTCAGCTCTGTAGTTTTCATTTTCTGTTATTAATATTTTCTACTGATCGATCCAGAAATATATTGGATGCAAAGAGGAAAGGGTATGGTGGTGGTGATGAAGTTAGTACAGTGGCAGCCCCTTCCCATAAACTAACCAAACTAGTTGCATGATTTTGATGTGAACATGCATGTATTTCCCTAGGAATCCTTAATTACACAGTCCTAGCTTTATTTAGGTTTGTGTTGGGGAAATTAAAAGGCATGCCATGTTGTGATAATAAAGGGTCACATTCTATCCTACAAACACAAACACAACATCATGCTCCATAACATGTTTTCTCACTTTTTTCATCTTGACCTACTCCTTATACATACAGACACTGTCCCTTGAACAAATTAAACTAATTAATTAACTGCATAATTGGCTTTTACAACATCATTTACTTTCACTTTAATTAGCTAGCTAGGATGCACCAAATTTCCATTCTTGCTTCTTACAACAGATGTTGATACCTTAGTGACTCAGTGTGTGTTAGCAAAAAGTTGGGGTTTTAAAACAGTTTTGAGGTTAAATCAGTTTGTGTTAGTGACTCAGTGTGTCACTGAATATTTAAGTAAATTTTTAAAATTTATTTCATTGTGCAGAAGGCATAGAAAGAGGTTAGCATCCTGTTGATGAACACGAGGCATTGTGGTTGATAAAGACAAAATTCATTGTGGTTTTTTGTTGGGATATTATAATAGTTATAGCAAAAAGGCAAAGTGGGTATTGCTTCAATGTGGATAAGCGTTGGATCATCTCGGCCTGGGAAAGCCACTGCTAAGGTTAGAAGCTTTTCCTGATAAGCTTGAAGTTTCTGTGTGGTTTTGTCAAGTCTTGTTATGTTCTTACGCAATGCTTCTTTTAAATGTAGGAGAGTTGTGAATGTGGTTTTGAAGATGATGTGGATGATATTGAAAGTGTAAAGAAAATGAGTACTCTTCAACAACTCAGATTAAATCTTAGGTAAATGCTATTATATGAATACACTATGATTTCAACTGGAAGTTCCTATGTCTGTATATTCATTTATTTACTTATATTAATTTTTTTGTTTCATATTTTAGAAATGTTACCTTTGACATCATTGGGGGGAAATCAAATACGTTTTGGCCTTTTGGGGCTGTCTAACCATTTATAGCAATATGCAATCGTATTTGAGACTATCATCTAACTTTGGAATGTGTAGGAGTGCCGGAAATTCCTACTAGAGTTCCAAGCATAAGCTTGTCTTGGCCTTCAAGAGTTTCTTGAATGACATGAAAAATGGTATCCTTCAATCATGGAAGATCAGGTATATCCTGAAGAGAAGCTTTCAGATATTGCTGAAAGCACTTCAAAGAGGAACTCCAAAAGAGTCCCAACTAAAACAATAGTTTTATGTAGAATAGTCAATATCTCCATCACCAAGTTTAATTTGTCATCTATTTGAACTTTAATATATGGGAACTTTTATAGGTCAATTTTATGCCTTCGAGAAAGCTCATCAGCTAGACCCCACATCAAGTGGACGTGGTGTACACCAATTTAAAACTGCACTACTTCTGCATCGGCTTGAAAGGGTAAGTACCATATGTGTAGTTCTTTTTGCAGAAATGCTATTCTATGCTTCCTACTGTTTCCTCTAAGGTTGGTGCTTGTTTCTCTTTCAACATATTGAGCATAATGTGTTTTAATTTATTCATTTTTACTAAAATCTGATACTCTGTATAAATACTTTGTATACACTTTGCATTAGTTTTTTATAGATCAAAATCTAGGAGTCTAAATATGATGATGATGAATCACATATATATAGAAGAGTTTGGAGATGATGACTTTATATTTGCATGCCAAATGAAATGAAATGGTGTTGCTACCTTGTACTGATCGATAATTATTTAAGGTGGCAAATGAATTGAACTGGTTCCCCATCACTCATCAACTGATCTTTAATTCAAAACGTAGATTATATTTCTTGTTTGGTGCCTTTCTCCTCTTGTTACTCAACACAAAATTCTATCACAATTGCATTGTTTCTCATTTGCAGGCCAGTAAGGATCAACTTCCTCAATTAGACATAATCAGTCCAGTAAGGATCAACTTTCTCATTGACACCCATTTTGCTAGTTATGTATTCATTTATGATCTATGTGATGAATGTAGCATGCTAATCATATTTAAAGATCATGTGCTACATTCCTTATTTTTATACATGCATATATACTTAAAAGTATAAAGTATCTATTATCATATGCAAATTTATTATCTGTAAGTTTTAGTTTTGGCTGCATACTCATCACTTTGAATAACAAATTATTACATTAGGTAAGTAAATTTATATAGAATAGCTAAATTATATTTTATTAATTAACTTATTTAGTAATTTGATTAATTAAATTATTTTGTAGGTATTTGAAGGAAATTCGTACTCTACCAATGAAATAGATGAGATTCGAGACTTATGAGCAAAATATTTTTTGTAAGAGTATGGGTAACTTTTGTTTTAGATTATATGTTATATTGCATTGATATAAAGTATTGTATTGATAGTATTTGGTTGAGTGTTGATAATATTGTGTTTTGATAGTTTGTTGATAATATTGTTTTTGATAGTTTGTTGATAATAGTGTTGATGATTAGTATTATCTTGATATGTAGTGTATGAAAATAGAATTTTTATAAAAATTGGGGTATTTAAAAATAAAAAATAATAATGAATTTTTTTTTTAAAAAAACAATCCGCTACACTTCTTTTGTAAAAAGGGTAGCGGATGCTTAAATAAAATAATAATAAAATAAAAAAATTCGCTACGCTTCTATATTTAGAAGGGTAGCTCAAGGCTTTCAGCGTTCCTCAAATCCGCTACCCTTGTACAAGGGTAGCGGATAACCCTTTACAAGGGTAGTGGATGTGCATATCTGTACTAGTGTTAGTATAAAAAAAATTACTAATCGTCAATAAGAAATAAGTTAGATTAGTTAGTAGAGCACATATTTGACAATAGTAATGTGTTTTCTATTCAAATTATTTTATCAAATTAATTATGTTTCATATTTTGTTATGAATATTTTTTCAAAGTTTCAATGCGTTTTATTTTTAGTCCATATCCAACAACATTTACAACCATATTTCTTAGGTAATTTATTTATTTATTTTTAAATTATCTATTTTGTTTTAATATTTGGCCTTTAATGAAAAAATTTTCTGAATCCGTGTACTTTTTCGCCCCCTCAACTAAATTTCTAGCTCCGTCCTTGTGCCTAATCATCCATCCCCACGAACACAAGGAGGCACGAATGAACAACACTGCATCTTTAATCTTCCACAGGACTCTTAAAGTTTCCGACGAGACCAAGCTGGCGAGGGCTAGGGAGTCCACTTCGACAATGCTAGGCCTTCTAGCAAAGGCGTCGCACCACTGAATGGCCATTTGCAGCGACAATGTTTCAGCCTCCAATGCCGAAGATGCTTCAAAACAAAAACACAGCCCCACAGACATCTGCCCTGGGAAATCCCTTATACAGGCACCTCCCGCTGCACCAGACTCTGAGAGAACTGCGTCCGTATTAAGCTTCAAGCGCCCCGTTGGCAGAGCAAGCCATTTTACCCAAATCGTGGTCTGACGCGGAGGGGCTGCAAATCTCGCAACCAGGCCAGCTGCCACGAGAGAGGCGTCATGGAGACTCCTGCAGCGAACTGGGCGAGTCAAGGAAATCAGCAGCATCTCGCGTTTAATTATGATAATGGCACCCTCCGGCGAGAAAGTCGTGCCTTCGTAGATGCCTACATTATAGGACCTCCACATAAACCAGAGGATTAATCCGGGAAGGGTAGCAGACGCCTCAGCAGCCTCCACATGAAAAAGGAAATTTGCGATGACAGTCCGCCGCCCCAAATACAAGACGAAGAGAGACTGCGGCCTGCTTATGGCCGCAAGGAATTGTAGGCCGACGAAAAGCTGAAATCGCCATAGGTTGACAGCTTCCAGACCAAGGATCCTGAAGAGCAAGTCCCATTGTTGTCTTCAACAAAGCCTTTCAACTGTTGCAAACTCCGCCATGTAATCGAGGTGACTGTCCGGCCATGGCCTTCCGGATAACTAGCTAGCACACATGTATTCACTCCAAAACGAGCCTCCCTGCAATAGATTAAAGTAGAGTTTTGCAGAATAAGCTTGTGTTTCGTATGTGCAGCAGTATATGTAAAGTAAAAAGCAATTGGGAGAATTTAACTCAAAGAGCTTTGTTATTCATTGCCCTTCCATGTTGTAAAGAGAAGGAAGAGAAGAAAATGCCTAAGTGCTATATGGAGATAGAGTAAAGGAGTGGCCTCTTTGAATTTTCTAGATTGTTGAAAATGGCCCCCATCTTGTGTATGTGGAATACCCTTTATATAGGCGGGATCTAAACTCTACCAGAATAAAATATTTTTCATGGGACACCCGATCCTGACCTGAATACTGATCAAACGCCCCTGAACATACATGGAGGCCGGTATACTTAGGGTATAATCTCTATCAATAATCTTGAAGATTGTATCATATCTCTTCTCTACACTCTTTTGAAATAATAATTTTATCATGTAGAACTTGAAGATTGTTATCTTCAAGGGGAGATGAAGAGTACATGTACTCGAATCAATCTTGAAGATTGAGTCTTAAAAGACTAAACAATAATTGTACTCTTTTGCAAGATATGAATACATGTGTTGCAGTGTTGGTTCCATGTGCTTTGTACATATTTGTTGCATACTTGCACCTCATTATTACCTTGTTATCGCTTTGCTTATAATACTTTTGTTTTATGATTATGGACACCGTACCAATAAGAAGTGAGATGAGAATTGTAACAGCAGTAAGTCTTTTAACATATATCGTCATTAATATTTTTGTACAAATTCAATAGACTAGAGCTGTCATACTTGGTACAATTCAAAATAATTGTACCAAAATTCCTATATATATATATATATATATATATATATATATATATATATATATATATATATATATATATATATATATATATATATATATATATATATTCACATAGACTCTAGAAGAGTGGTGAAATATGTGAAGATCCGGTTGTACTCTTTTTCCCTTAACTAAGTTTTTCCTATTGGGTTTTTCCTTAGTACAATCTATGATTTTAAAAATATCACGTACTCTTTTCCTCAACTAAGTTTTTCCCACGTGGTTTTTAAATTGATGGTGGACAATATTTGTAACGGACACATTTAATGTTCATTATGTAGACCATTTATTATTCCATTATATAGAGGCGAGTTCAGGTGCGGCAGTGTCTTACGGTGCGACGATTTCTTACGGTGCGGCAACACCAATAGTTCAACAAATATGCACCATCAACGTTAGGAAAATACACCACAAAAAACAGAGTAAACAGAGCCCTGCATCACCAAACACACACCATTAGGTGTGAGTAAAAACACCATACACTGTTCAGAAATATACCATTGGGGGTGGTGAGTTATATGGTGTATTTTTTTTTTTTTTTTTTTTTTGAGTCTGTTGTGCATTCTGTGATGTTTTATTGCATTTCATTGTGGTGTGTTTTTCTTACACTGTTGGTGCATATTGTTAACACTGTTGGTGTATTCTGGAATTCCGCCGCACCGCCGCACGGGAAGACCCCGTCGCATTTGAACTTTATTCCCATTATATATATATATATATATATATATATATATATATATATATATATATATATATATATATATATATATATATAGATTTTGAATCCGGTGCACACTCCTAGTCAGCCGATCCCGTGAGCACACTCCCTGATCGTTGATTTTAATTTTTTGATGATTCAGATTGATTACCACTTGGATCCCATGTTATATTGATTTTAAATGAAGAAGAGTCTTTTTTGTCCTTAAGCACTATATTTATTACTTTCCATTTCATTTATTTCCATATTTATAAAGATTTATAGCGTTATTTAAGATCTCCTTAATCAATATTTCTCTCTCTTATCCATGGAAATTTATTGGTATGTTAAATATTCATAATTTTCATTGATTTACATACAAATGTTTTCATATAAGTAAATTTAATTCTCCTACAAGCAATATGGAACTATGCAAGTTCATTACGCACGGGAAAAAAAAAATCATGTATTATCTACGTATAATAAAACAGATAATTTAGTATGTATAGTATAATGCATATATAAATTTTTAGTTGGCGAGAGAAACTCATAATTATTACCTGCGTGCGTGCATAACTTTTTGGAATGGTGTGTGCGTTTTACTGTAACAGGCTTCGTACACTATGGCGTGCTGATTTTTTCATAAAATTATGCGTTTTGGTATGTGCGTTTCGTGATACAGGCATGTACATTTTGGTTTGTGCGTTACTAGTTTCGGGTGTGTGCGAAACGTATCTAAAAGAAAACAAAAATATACGAATCTAATTTGGGTATCGGCATTTGAATTTTGAGTAGATAATCAGTACTGCGTAGTAGATATAGTATTTGGCTTGTTTTTTTTTTTTTTTTTTTTTTTTTTTTTTTTTTTTTTTTTTTTTTGAATTGTGAGGAATTTTACAGTGGTGTGTGCGGGTGTGGAATGGCGTGTGCGGTTTTCTGTAACAGGAGGTGTACACCATGACAAACTATAAAACGCACACACCATTCCACACCCACGCACACACCACCGTAAAATTCCCCATAATTTAAAATTTCAGATGTACAAAATATAATTAATTATTACCATTGATAGGGTCCCTAATAATTTAAAATATCAATTTCCATTCATAATCTCCCTAATATAATGCCTAAGATTCCAATTGAATTATATCCATAATTAAACATATATCTACAATTACTATTTAATCCTTTTGATTTCAATATATCGTTAATTACTTTCACAATCTCTTATAATCTCAACCATTCATGGAAAATGAATCAATGGATATCATGAGATCTCATGATCTCATCTAGTATAGGGGTTGCACCAGGTTCGAAGCCTATATATATATATATATATATATATATATATATATATATATATATATATATTCTTTTTCTTTCCTACTCTTTTGTTCCTATATCATGATCCATTTTCTGGGAATGACTACGAATTAAAGGTTATGATTACAACATATTTGAAATTAGTACGAACCTTTTTGTCCATTATGGAATGCAATTATAAAATATCTTTTATTTGAATTAAAAATTAAAATTTATAAGCAAATCCAACGTTTTTATTTTTATTTGAACATAAGCAAATAAAAAATTTATTTTTTATCTTGGAGAATGTGGATAAGAAGCTCCAAGGTTGGCCGCGCAAAATTTTGTCACTGGGAGGTCATTTGATTCTTATTAAGCATGTTTTGACATCTATTCCTCTTTATACAATCGTAGCCGTCCAATTACCTCGCCAAGTAATTAAAGAACTTGAGTGAACGTTTGCTAGATATTTTTGGGGAACTTATGAGGGTAAGCCTAAGTTTCATTGGGCTTCTAGGCATAAAATTTGTTTGTCTACGGATGAAGGGGGGTTGGGAATTCGGAATATGGTTGCTGTTCAGCAGGCTTGTTCGGCGAAGCTCTAGTTTAACTTTAAGTGCAAAGGTTCTTTGTGGGTTGAGTTCATGAC